AGTTTCGAAATGCCGTTGACTCGCTGCTTGATTCCTACATTTCAACTGTTAACTCTCCCAGTTCTAACGACAGTGACAACTTGAAGGTATCCACTCTTATGAAGATATCAATTTCTTCGGCAGATCAAGAAGTGCGTTTGACTCTAGATGGTCCCGTTACCGATGAACCAGTTTTACAGGCAATCTCATCAAGCACATCATCTGAAAGCAGTCTTCCTTTTACCGATGACTCTTTTGACGGATCAGTTGAACGAAAAGCTTCCAAAAACAAACAGAAAGGAATAAAGTGCCATTGCTATAAAGAAGCGAAAAATATCAAAAACAAGTCAAAGACAAGTCGAACTCGACGAGGTCGTTCTTCTTTGAAAAGTTTTTTTTTCTCGTCTGATCTTCAAAAACGTCATCCTTATTTCTTTCACATAATCTATTTAAACTGCCTTGTTAAAGATTGCTCTGTGAGGGTGAATACACTGGAAAAATTGAACGAGCATCTCTTGGGTTACCATCAAATCGATAAGTTTCGATGCCCACACGAAAGATGTCAAATGAGTTTCAGCACGATGTAAGTTTGAATGCTATTTTTCCACTTTACACATTAAATTTTATCTATTCATAGGAGAAAGCTTTTTGCTCATTTTGAAGATGTCCACTCGTATGTCCGAATTTGGAAATGTTACGCCTGTCAGGAGTTATTCGATTTTCCAATGTATTTGTACAATCACATCTACTACGAGCATACGTATGGAAAGTTTAAATGCGGCAGAACGGAATGTAGTTTTGCGGAACAAACTCGAAACAAAGTGTTTAGGCACTTTCACAGCTGCTCCAGTAAGAAGAGTCGACGATGAAACTTGGATGGCGATTTTCCAGCACAAAAAAGGGAACCTCGGCTAGATTTCACCTAAAGATGATCCTAATTTATCTATATATACTTTTTCTTATTTACCAAACTTTACACTGTGCAAAACTTCTGTAAAATAAAAAATTTTTCATTACGGACTGATTCATTTTCTAAAGAAAAAGATAAGATGAACTCTCAAGTGAATTTGAATTTTCGCCCTTTTGGTGATAATAGTTTTTTGGAATTTTCGACGACATGGTAGAAATTGCCATGCAAGCAAAAATGAGTTGAGTCACTGTGAATGACGTGCTTTCACCGGCAGCATCNTTGTAAAATAAAAAATTTTTCATTACGGACTGATTCATTTTCTAGAGAAAAAGATAAGATGAACTCTCAAGCGAATTTGAATTTTCGCCCCTTTAGTGATAATAGTTTTTTGGAATTTTCGACGACATGGTAGAAATTGCCACGCAAGCAAAAATGAGTTGAGTCACTGTGAATGACGTGCCTTCACCGTCAGCATCGTTTTAGCGATTCTTTTTCAACTTGTTGTTTGTGACTCCAAGATCCAAACGCCAAAATGAGTTTACCAGCCGAATTCGTGACCCAATTTTTGAAGAAGAAGGAAGCTGTGCGAAATCAGTTAAAGCTTGCAGCCCGAAAGGCTGTCGATGGACTGTACGATTTTGTTCTGACTGGAGTGGAGAAAATGTTGACAAGTATGCCTGAGATGAACTACAGTCAAGTTGAAGAAGCTGCTCAGAACATGTTAGCCGAAGGAATCCAGACGCTCAGGGGCGATATCCAGCAACAGAGACCAGCTTCAAAGCACTTTTTGGCGGAAAATAGTCTGTCATTCGGTTCATCAAGTTATTTGCCAACTGGTGATGACGTCTACAGTAATCCAATACAGCCAGTGCCGTCTAAGAAAAGACGTTTCATCATAGGCAAGACTCAAAATGCCCTTTTGTCAAGTGATGTGAACAGAGAACTCTACTCGCCTACCAGTAACTACAAGACAAACTCCAGTGTCTCAGTTGGTAAAAATGACAACAACAATAGTCTAGACGATTCAATTCAAGACGATGACGATGGATTGGAAAATGCCAACATTGAAAGTAGCCGTAAGCGCTATCAAGTAGCAAAAAAAGATGTGGATGCTTCCAACTTTTTTTCTGACGATTCCGAAGAGGAACAGGAGTTTCTAAGTAAACCGATCGAAAATTATATCACTGAAAGTCTCAGTTGTATGCAATGCGATGAGGAGTTTGGCGATCAAGGTTCTTTGAATGCGCACAATTTAAAAAAACATCAAACCCAAATCTATTCGTGCCCACTGCAAATGTGCAACAAAAGTTTTAAATTTTTAAACGAGTTAGCTGGTCACGCTAAACAACATAGCAATGTAGCTTCGTGGGACTGCTACGTCTGTTCATTTAATGGCCTAGACATGGATGAGCTCTCAAAACACCTCTCACAAGAGCACGAAAATGGCAAATTCCGGTGCATCAAAGAAGGATGCAGCGTTGTAAGCAGCACACGGGCTGACGCAGAACGACACTTTACGAGTGGCAATCACATCTCATCTCAAAATGCCAATGATGCAGGCCAACCGGATGAAGACGATGATGAGCAGGAAGCCTCTTCATCTGATTTTCAAAACTCCAATTTTCCTTCAATTTTTATGAATGGTAAGAAGTTTCGCATTGATTCTATTAAGTGCTTTAACGGTAAGAACTTTCTTTGTCTATTCGTTTCCATAAAAGAGTAAACTATTTCCGTTTTTTGTTTCAGACGATTGCCAATTCTATTTTAAGAATGAAACAGACCTACGACAGCATATGCTAATTCTGCACAAGATGACTTTCTTTACATGCCCTGTTGTCGGATGTAGTAATCCATTTGATTCCAAGTGAGCTTTTAAAGCAGCCTTTTTTAAACTTAATTTAATTTTTTGTTTTAACTTCCCCCTAATAGAAAACAACTTAAAAAGCATGCTAAGAAAGACCACAGCGACAATGGTAACAATTGGAGCTGCCCTACTTGCGGCCATGTGGAAGAAAGTTTGCAGCAGTTCATTGTGCATCAGCATCAACTTCATGTCGAAGGTATTTACATATGTTCGATATGTCACGCATCGTCTAACTGTGGTCAAGAGGCTGAGGAACACTACGACATTGAGCATGATGCTTAGTGGAAGCTTTATTCATTTGTTTTGAGAAAATTTAACCACTTCACAGTAATCTTTAACGTTGTAATTTACATTTTCAATGGAACAACAGCTAATGTTGATTATTTTAATAAAATCTTTCTAAATCTTTTTCTGTGGTGATGAACGCCGCTGTTGAAAGCAAGATGCCATGACCAGGGCAAGGCGCTCCTTCATCAGGAACCTTCATACTATACCTTCAACACCATCTTTGTTCGTCGCCCTCATCCGAAGTAATCAGTGTACCTATTTCTAAAGAGATTTCCTAGAGTGTGTTTTCATTTATTTATTCTTTCTTTTGGTCCCAATTTCCTACAATTTTCTTCAAAGCGATTTGTTTTCTTAAAACTTCTTTTTCACTTAAAAATCAAAACAATCCAAACTGATTTGAAATTCAGAGATGGAGAGTACTTTTATCGAGTTTTTATTTGCCAGTTTTAAGGCCAGGGCTATAAAGAAAAAATATTCACTAGACATCAAAGTCGCTAAAATTGCCTCCAGAATGATCCCGACCATTATCATCATCATCATCGTCGTCGTCGCTACTCTCACTGTCTGACTTGGCGGCGACATTTCGAATAGACATCAGTGTTGACCGGAGAAGACTGTTGGCGAGACTGGCCTCAGACACCGGCAGTTGCTCTTTTGGGGGCGGTGTGTCCTTCACAGAGCGCAGCTTGGTTCGCATCTTCAGTATTTCATTGAGGTCAAGCATCACTGGACCACCATTGCCACCACTGCCGCCCTTTGAGTTGCCCTGTGATGCAGGGCCCTTGTTAAGGTTCGATTTCTTTGCGGCAATCATGTCAGCAAGTGAAGATGCACCACCAGCTGAAAGAGGAGAGGCAAAAAGAGCACCAGGTGGGGGAGGAGGAGGGGGAGGGGGCGGAGAAGCACCAAAAGAAGGTCCGGAAGAAGTTGATGGAGGAGGAGGGGGCGGTGGTGTTGGTGGAGGCGGTGGAGGCGGCGGTGCCACACTAGTGACTGCAGGTGCCACTGTTGGAAGTTGCTGTGGTACCGAAGTCGGAAGAGCACTGTTATTCCCCTCTGTTTGATTGGAAGTACCGGTCACCTCTTCCTCAACGACCTCACTACTTTCCTCCGCATCTTCCGACTCCATAATCTCGCGCATTTTGAACTTTCTTAAGCGATTCAATGTCTCACGACGAAAACGGTTAAACTTTTGATCGCCCACTGGCGAAGAAACAGCTGTTGATGTAGTGGTGTTTTTCGATTTCACAGACTTGTAAGAAGAGGTGGAAGACAGTGAGGAAACTGAATTAGATCTTCGCAAAGCGGTTTTCCCACCCTTCGGTGAAGAATGGTCATTCGCCTTGCCATTCACTTCGCGTCTATTGAGTCTCTGTTCAATTAGTCGAAGCTTTCTGGTACGGATTTTCGCCTGTCGCTGGCCATTGATAACCAGCTTGTGCTTCAGAATCGCAATTCTCGTTCTCAGGTCAGTGTTCTCGTCGTTCAGCTGCCGCTCTACGTCAGGCAGTTCTTCGGGATTCTGGACGGCGTCGTAGAACTCGCTGGGCTCCTCCGAAGTGGCATCCGCCAGCTCTGCCGACAGTCTGGCCAACTGCAGCTTCCAGAGGATGGCTTCCTCTTTGAGAATGGCCGCCTTCACGTCGAGCAGCTCAATTGAGGTCTCCAGACGAATCTCTTCATAGTTGGAGTTGCTCGCTTCAATGTTCTGCCCATCAAAGTTAGCCGAGTTGACACTCAGAATGCTCGTCGTCAGTTGCAGATTACTGAGGCGACTCTCTACCATTGAGTGTCGACAATTGAGGTATTTGACGTTCTCTTGCGATTTCACAATCTGCAGCACTTGCAGCCTATCAGCGGCGCCCTTCAGCTTGAAAGCCGCTTTACCGCCGTACTTCTTCTGGTCCTCCAGTGTCCTGCTGATTTGCCCAGCAACAAGCTCCACATTTTGCCTGTAGTAGTCGAGGTAAATCTGATGAATAGCTGACGTGGAAGTAAGGTACTCCGATGAACTCTTTTCCAGCTGCTCAGAAGCCTCCGCCTTCACTCTTTGGCCGAAATCTCGAGCTTCAAGAACCATCTGTGCTGTTTCCATTGCCTCGAACGCAATCTCCCGCATCGTAATGAAGGGCTTTAGCTGAAAGAGAAAGAGCTCTGAAAGCGCCTGCCGATATTCAAGTACCGTTTTGTCCTCCAGTTTGTACAGCTCAATAACATTAAGCAGATTGGCGGCCTTCTTTCGAAGCAGCAAAATGCCCTCCAGGTCGCGCTTTGCCTTTTCGACCAAATTTTCGTAGCCCTGCAACTGCAGGTGTTGAAGGTTCTCCTCACAGTCGTCAAGGAGGTGTCGCTCGAAAAGCATCAGCTTGGCCAGTTTGAATCCACACAAGTTGACCACCGCGTAGAGGTACTCGGTGATAGCAGTCTCAATGGCTGCCTCGTCGATTGCACTCGTCAGTCTGGAGAGGATAGTGAACCCGGAATTAGATCATAAAAAAGCATCACCAGATGGTGTGTACTGGCTGGTACTAACCCAAAGAGGTACTTGATAAAGTAAATTCGGGAGTTGGTCGTAGCCTGGAGCTCATCGATGTAATGCCGTACTGGAGTAAAGTGGCCTGACACCTCAGGACAGATAAGCGATAGATCCTTGTCCAGCTCAAGAAGGTCTTCGATTCTGTAAAAAGTAAGTGTTTAGTTCAATGTATTTCTTTATCAAGAAACTCTTCCATCCTTACCGTAGCGAAGTGGCTAACGAATTTGGTCTGTCATGCGTTACCAGGCGACTTTCTTCGAGGTAGGTCACAGCGACAATGTTATCGATGCGATTGAAACCAACGAGAAACTTGGCACGGTTTGTTGATGCAATATTTGTGGAGAGACTCTTGAGGCCGACCGCACGATTTCGAAATCGGTCTTGCCTTGGTGCGCTGGAATACTTTGGCTTCGATTTGTTTGTCTGATTGTCATCTTTAAAGATGTCCGCTTTAAAGGCGATCCATTCCTGAAGTCCATCATCGATGACCTGAAGACTTTGATCGGGCAACGAAGAATCGCACACAGACGAGTCTATAGTCAGCAAGCTGGTTGCGGTGGTTGCCAGGTCGTAATTGGACATGACTTTGATTGGCAGTGAGTCATTCGGGGGTGAAAAGAAGATGATCACAGGTGAATGAAATCAGAGGAGAATGGACAAAAGTAAATAGCAACAGTACGGCAAATCAGAGAGGTAAACAGCAGTAAGAGAAGAGTGCGTAATACGTTGAGCGGCAGGCAGTGGTCGGCCTTCAGCGTACGACAACTTGCCTAAGCTCACTCAAGAGTCGTCGTTCACAAGACTAGTCAGATGATATCATCAGTGGTCGTCGTAAAGAGCAACATAGAGCTGTGATACAGCCAAAATGTCTTCTGCACCTTCTTTCAAAAAACACGGGATGATAAAAGTCGTGTGCACTGGTGCACGACTGAAGGCACTGGCTGATTTCCTTGAATCGAGAAAAAGATGTTCTTTCAAGATTTAATTGAGAGTAGTTCTGATTGTTCACAGACACATTCGGGTGGATGCGGGCTGTTTATTGGGGAGACTGTTTTTGCGTTACTGTTCTGAGACACTGGTTCCTCCACCGAAGAAGATGCGCACTTTTGGCACACTGCACTCGGTGCAATAAAAACACAAGCACGAGACAATGTTTACGTCACGTGACTGGTAGACTGATTTTTTCTGTCCATCACAAAGGAACAAGACCTACGTTTACAGTGTTGCAGAAGGCAGCACAGTCTACCACTGGGAAAGTTGAGGGTTCCGCGTGGATTCTTCTGCCTCTTTTACTGGAGAAAACATCGATTTATTCAGCAGTGTAATCTTTATTCTTATAAAACATTGGATCAAGTAAATCAAGTAAATCAACAGTGTAGCACGCGGCTGGCAAAAGAAAGTAAGGTGTTGCAGCTGTGCTACACCAAAATCAGGCGAGGGTGGGCGGTTGCTTCAAAAGATTAAAAAATTAGCCATTAGCCAACAACATTGATGAGTAAAGTGTGTGGCCACGAAGCAAAGAGAAAAAATTGTTGTAAAAAGCAGACCTGTAAAAATAATTAAAAAACACTGAAGGGGAGGGGGAGAATAATTTGCAGACTAGGCTCTCTGGCGTAGTTAGACAATCTGAAACAGCTTCTTCAGCTCAATCATCAACTGCCAGTCGGACTTCTCGAGGTCGTCACGGAAGTACTCCTTCATGACGTCAATTGAGTCGCGGCTGATCTTTGAGCAGAGAATATCGTTCAGATCAAAGTGGCGTCCGTACAGCTTCGGTGCATCAGAGCTAGTGTGGTCGATCTTGATGCACACCTCCTGGCCCTTTCTCGCACTCTCCAGCGCCTTGTGATCGTGTTCAATGGTGCTGACGACGCCGATCAAGTCTAGCTCCTTTGAGGGCACGGCCAGGGGCGTGCCGGGCACTAGGACGCCATCCTCAACATTGACGCCCACCACAATGGGGTCACGCTTGTTGAAGATGCAGTTCGGCAGGATGCGAAGTTTGCAGGGAAAGACGGCCTTGTGGCGGTTGGCCTCCTTTCGGTCAGCCTTCAGCTTCGCCTTGTACTCGGTGAAGCGGTCAAAGAGGTGGTAAATAATTTCAGCCTGGAAGATCCTCACGCCACTGGAGTCTGCCAACTCCTGTGCATCTCGTTCGATCTTCACGTCAAAGGCGAGTATGACGGCGTGATCAGGCGAGTGCTCCAGCATGGTTGAAGCCTTCATCACGTCCTTCCTCACGACCGGGCCAATTCGAACGCCGGCATAGGGAATCTTTGAGTCTTTGAGGAACTCCAGAAGCGCCTCCAACGAGCCTAGAGTGGATGCCTGCACGTAGACGCCTTCACTGCTGCATTTGATGGCCTTCATTGCGTGTGAAAACTGCGCCCAGCAAAGCTCCTTCAACCGTTCTACCTCCGCTTCAGAAGAGGCCACGTACATCTGCAGTCCGGCTACTGCCTTTTCGAGCTCGTGGGCGCATATTTTGACGCCCATTGACCCGTATACCACCTTAAGCTCTTCGTAGGGGCTCTTCACGCGCAGCTCCTTCAGCGGTTGAGGCACTAAGAGAGAGCGAATGTTCGTCACGACGGGACCATCATGGCCGGCGAGCACTATTTTATCGCCTTCTTTCAGCTTTCCGTTGATGAGGATGACGTCGATGGTGGTGCCAAGGCCAGGAATAGCCTTCACCTCAAGGACGGTCGCATCAAGTGGGTCAGCAATGTACTTGATGCGCTTTGCCAACATTGTCTGCGTAAGGTGGACAATGAGATTAAGCAGGTTGCCCATGCCTTCGCCGGTGTGCGCAGAGGTGGGCACCATAGAGACCCACTCGCGAGGGTCAGGGTTCTTCCAGAAGAGAGCCGCATTGATGGAATTTTCAGCCAACTGAACAATCACCTCTTCGGCTCGCTTGTTAAACTCCAGCTTAGTGTTATTCGGTTGGCTATTAATGTTATCCTCGATGTCTTTGCGATTATTTGTCCGCCACTCGTACAGGCGGTCAATCTTATTGAGTGCCACCACAAACGGCGTCTTTCGCTTTCTGAGCAAGTTGATGGACTCAATAGTCTGCTTTTCAATGCCGTGCATAATATCGATGACAAGAATGGCAATGTCGCACAGAGAGGAGCCTCGTGAACGAAGGTTCGTGAAGGACTCGTGCCCGGGAGTGTCGATGATCAACAGGCCGGGCATCTCCACTTCGGCCTTCTCCTTCACGTACTTGGCCTGCTCGTGAATACTAAACGGCGGCACAAAGGTGGCGCCAATCTGCTGGGTAATGCCGCCCGCTTCATTGTCCTGGACGTGCGTTTTGCGAATGTAATCGAGCAGTTTGGTTTTGCCCGTGTCGACGTGACCAAGAACGCAAATGATCGGTGAGCGAAAGTTAACTGGAGGTTTTGAGCAGACGGTTGAAGAGGTGGTCATGCGATCGTGGTTGATTCCGTTTGTCGCTTTGACAGGTTCAGCAGCTGTTGGCAGTGCTTTAGCTGCTTCAGTAGGGGTAGTTGGTGTTTTGGCTGGTGCCTTTGTCGATGGCTGTTTATCTTTTGCTTTGGATTTCTTATCAATATCCAAAAGCTCCCAATTATCGACCTCTGGCTCTTCCACCGGTGTAGCTAACTCGTCCTCGTCAAGATCGTCAATTTGCTCGGAAACATCTGGAGACTCATCTGAGGCCTTTTCTTCGGTTGACGTCTGTTTGTTGATGCCAGTTTTATTTCGCTTCAGCTTTTCGTACTTTGGCTTTTGACCACCAGAAGTAGAGGTTGCTGGCACAACGATCTGTCCGGATTCCAGTTGCACCTGCAGCGATTGCTTAGCTCTTTGTTGACTGGCTTTTTGCTTTGCAGTAAGAAGTTTTCCTTCCTTCTTCAACCGCGCTTGACGTTCCTTTTCCTTTTGTTTTTTCTTTTCTTTCCGCTCCTGTTCAAGTCGAAGTTGCTCTAAACGGGCCTTTTCAGCTTCTTCTTCCCTCTTAATTCGCTCCTCTTCTTCCCGTTGTAAACGTTCTTCCTCTTCTTTTATTTTCTTAAGCTGCTCCTGCATCAATGCAATTTGCTTTTTTCCAGGACCTTTGGTCGCCGTTTTGGCCTCTTCCTTTGCCTTTTTCTCCTCTTCGCGTTCTTTGCGAGTCTTTCTGCGATTCTTGTTCTTCTTTTTACCATCACCACCGCCAGCTGGGGCATTGGCATCATCATTTTCATCGTTGCCCTCGTCCGCCATGCCAGCGGGATTCTCCTCCGGGGCACCACTAAAGAAAGGATCATTAAAAAATGTTCATAACGAGATAAAATAGCCATAAGCTTACTTGGTAGCAAGTGGATCCTCCATGATTGAAGCAGATAAAGTGGTGAAGTGAAAAGGTTATAGCAAATTGGAAAAAATTCTAATTTAGAAGCAGACGAGATTGTTGACATGTGGCAACTGAAATCGACTCGCCGACGTGCACTGCACGAGGTAACAGCGCGCCACAGTTTAGGTCGGTTGTGCCCGTAATGCAGTGACTCTCACTGAGCTAAGCCTGTTGTGCCGTGAAAAAAAGCCTTTAAGTAAGAAAGCGACCCAAAATCTGCGCCATGCGCCACAAGCTAATCACGTCCTCTCCGAGAGGCCAGTACGGTAAACTGTCGTTTTTTGCTCTTGATTCCTAAAAATAAAATAAAAACTGATAAGATTTTTGAGTAAAAGTATTTAAACGTAATTGCAGCATATTTTGCTAGTT